TAGTTTTTCCATATGTAGAGATGGGGTCTTGCTGCTGCTCAGGCTGGTCTTAAACTCCTGAGCTTAAGCAATCAACCTGCTCCAGCCTATCAGAGTGCTGGGATTATAGATGTGAGCCACTATGCCTGGGCCTTTTCAAGATTTGATTTGAGTGGGGTTGCTGGCACCCCAAGCTGATCCATCACTGCAGGGCTTTGTGTATATTAACCAGCATCTCAGAACTTGGTGAGATGCCAAGTACTGCCCCCTCCCCCCCATATTCCCAGTCCTAGCAGAAACCAAAAGGGACAGGACGCCCAGGGAGTGGGTATGAGACTTGGGCTCTATAATTGGCATCACTGCCCACATTGGACTTTGGCCATGCAGGAGTGAAGACAGGATGCTGTGTCAGCCCCAGGTTATGCCCAGGAGCAGAGGCGGTGGCAAGGGTCTGAGTAGCAGCACCAGCCACCCTGCTTCCTAGGTGTTGGCCCGGTGGTGTGCCCAGCCACCAGCCATCTGGGGTCCTGCCTGTTTTCTGAGCCTGCCTCTTCTTCAGCAGTGCCACCTGACATCCCTCCCATGCATCGCTCTTTCACGTGAGGTGCCCAGATCCAGGGGATGTTTGCCGCAGAAAACCCTGATGATTGAGGGGTCTCTGAGAGGGAAGAGGCTATCGCCAGGGGGTTATGCAGGGGAGCGGCAAGAGAGTCATGGGGAGGGAGAGATCAAAGCAGAGGAGAGGGTGAGATCAGGAGTAATTCCAGCAGAAGCCGAGGAAGGAAACACAAGTGATCCAGTCTTGGCAGCGGCATGGGCAGGTGGCTGCCGGGCACACAGCTGTAGGTGCTTTCACAAAGTGCAGAAAGCATCCTTCTTAAAAATTTGACAACCCGAGCGTAGTGCCTAAAAGGAACAGTTGTGTGTGCCAGCAGAGGACCACAGTCCAGTTGTGAATGCCGGCAGAAAACCACTGTCCAGTGACTAGGAGCTAAGCAGAGGGACAGTCCATCCCCTCCCCAGGAGCTTCCCTCCAGGTCACAAGCTGCAGAACCAAATGCTCTTTACTCGGGGACTTTGCCCTCATGCTATTGAAATTAGAAATTTCATCTCATTTTTATCAAGATCTTGAAACGGGGTAATAAAGTTATACCGATGAACAGCCCAGCACAACATGGGAAATGTAATAAAAGGTGAAAGCAATAAAAGGTGGGGCTCCAACCACTCGGCACGGATGCGCCTTGTAAGAAATAAAAGTAATTATCACCTGTCCAACCTGGCTGGCCCCTTCCGTGAGCGTGTGGAAGAAAGCCGTTTCAGAACTTTATTTCCTATATTGAATGTCGATAATTGGATGTATTTATAAGTCTCCCTGGAAGAAAACAGCTAGTGATTTCAAGATGAGAAAACAGTCTTCCAAACAGTGAAAAACAATATATTCCCCATTTTCGCACACACAAAAAGAGCTTGTTTCCTTGAACGTCTTTCAGGTGTTGTCGGAATGATTTGCCTCTCCGAAGCCACCGTTCCATTTCTCATCTTGAATTGCCTCATAGACCCCGGCGAAGCACCCAGCAGGGACCACTCCATCTAAGCCGGTGACGGGGCTTCCTCGGGAAGGCCCCTGGGCTCTGCCTGCCTTTTTTTCTGCACAAAGACGGATGCCAGGGTGGGCTGGGCCAGGGGAGGAAGGGCAGGAGGACCAGAAGGTAAGGTAGGGTGGTCCTCTGGGAGGGGCGGTGACAGCTGGGGTGTGGCCCTGGAGGGAGAAGAGGGAGAGCTGTGGCTGTCACTGTGGACACTGCAAAGGGTGAAGGCTGGGACCTGCCAGATCCCAGGAGAGAAAACCTCCTGTACGTCTCAAGCCATCACATTCCTTCCTTGTCCACTGGGGAGAGGTTGAATTAAAACTCGCCACCCATCTCCATCTCACCCCAGACCTCACCCCCCTTTCTCTCTCTTTTTGGTCTATTTGGTGCTGTTTTTCTGCAGCCACTCTTCTATTCTTAACAAAGACAATTACAAACAAACCCAAATTCCATCCCATATGGCTTTTACCCTCTGAGGCTGGTATAGTTCCTCTTGCTGGCTCTTTCCAGGTTGCCCCTGCCTGAGGGATGGGCTTGGACTCACTGCTCCCTGCTCACAATCCCTTAGCAAACAGCAGTAGCAGCCTGGTACTCAGGGCTCCTCTTTCTCCTCTGCCCCCAGCCTGAAGTTCCTCCAGGACAGGGTCTGGGCTCCTACCCCTCACAGCGTGGGCGATAGCTCCGCAGCTGGGGGCAGAGTCACTGTCCAGGCCACCCCAGCTTGGTCCCATGGAGCCTTCCAGCAGATATACCACAGATGGATGGGTCCACGTCATGGGTCTTCCAGAGCACACACTGCGTCACCTCAACGGTGGTCCGTGATTCAGGACCTGGCTGGTCACCCTGTCTGGGCCTGGGCCTGCCCTCTCCAGGCAGCCAGCCTTCAGCAGAGTCCATGGTGGTTAGATTGAGGTGGGTGGGCAGAGCAGGGAAACCTGGCCAGAGACACTGTCCCAGGGACAAAGGAGTTTTCCTGGGATGAAGCTCCTTTTACAGGTCTCTGGCTGGGGCAAGGCACTTCTGGAGAGTAAAGATGTTCTGATGAGCCGGCTGACTGCGCACAGGCACCCCTCCCTGCCTCCCCCGCCCCCAGCCACCTGTAGGGCATTACTACTGGGAAACTTGGGAAACTATTTCAGTCAAGGACCTGTGACCTCGAAGGCAATGCTGCGTGAGGCCCGAATGTGCCGCCTGGCGCTCTCCGGCGGCTGATTTACACACTCCCACTCCGACTCTCTAAATCAATCTTTCCCCAGTTGCCTCCTGGCTCCCAGCAGCGTCCCTGGCCTGCCCTGCATGAGTAACTACACAATCTTCTCCCACAGCCTGGGCTTCTCCTGGCGCTCCTGCCAGAGCCTCTGATGGGGAGAGATGAGGATGGCGGGCAGCCCTCTGGGCCAGGCTTATGGCCCTGCCTAGAGGCCCACTGTCCAGACAGGTCTGGCTGGGCAGTGGCTGTGAGCAATGCCCCTCTATTACTACCCAGTAACAAGGGTGCTCCACTCAGTTCTCCCTGCTCTTCTGTGAATGTTTCAGATAATTACTTCTTCTTCATACTATTAAACACTCAGAGCTGGTGGTTGGCTTGATTTTGACATATTTTATGTCAAAAGAAATGGTGGGGGCAGGTATGATTGCCTAGGGGACACGTTTTCCTTCCACAAAGGAGTATGAAAAGCTCATTCTGTTCACCCCTTGTTATTTATAAAAAGTGTCCCTTACTAGGGAGTTGAGTGTCTTTAGCTGAAGGTGGAGCTACTGCCTGAGGGGTGGGGTTGTCCAAGCTCTCGGAGACTCTGGGTCAGGCAGTGGGGTATGGACCCTTGTGCCTAGGCTCTCTTCCCTGGAAACTGGCAAGAGGGTAGAGAGACTCTTTGTGGGTCTTACCTTGATGGCAGGGACCTGTGAGAAGCCACTGTGTAGAGGGGAGGGGCAGAAGGGATGGGTCCCCCGTTTCTGTCAACCCTCCTCTGCCTTAGCCAGGTCAGGGAGGTGGGGAGGGCTATCTGGATGTGCCACCTTCCTCCTGACAGCTTTGGCTCCTCTGGCTGTGCCATGAGCTAAAAGTGTCTGCAAGTTTGATTGTGAAGTCCTACAGCAGCCCCTGAGGTGGCCCCATTAGCTCTCTCCTGATAGGTGACAGGTGAGGATACCAGGGGTGACACTGGGGTTCCGAGGAGCCATGCTATATGCCCTTTGCCCCTGCCTCACATATCTGGCTCCATTCCTCCTATTTAAGGGGCCTGCTCTCCTTCCTGATCTATGGTGACAAACAGCAGCCAGGCTCCCACCAGACTGTCCACAGTGACCCATGTCTTTGTTTCAGCAAAGAAACAAGAAGCATCCCCAACCCAAGTCCTTTCACCAGAAGCCACTTCCAGCTGTGGCTTGGCGCTGCCTCCTGTCCAAACACATCTGTACATGTTCATGCGGCCCAGGACCCCAGGGGCACTTTCTCCCACCCTCCCTAGACTCCTTCCCTTCATAGAGTCAGCATGGGGCACCAGTGGGGGGCGACTGTGTCAGCGTGGCCCCCATGTGAGCTCTGGTATGTTTCTCACCGCTCTGGGTCTCAGTTTCCTCATCTGTAAGATGGCTCATCAAAGAGAGTCTCACAGGGCTTTGTGAGATTTCTAGGAGCTAACATTTGCAAAGCATCCGGGCCAGTGCTAACAAATGCCCGTACCTGCTGGCAGTAGGGAGGGCAGCCCCTGCTTCCTCATCTCCCCCTGCCCACTTCTCATAGGACTCTGCACCCAACACTTGTGTCTGGCTGGGCAGAGGAGTAAGCCCCTGGTAGACTCTCCCTCCCGAGCCCCTCTCCCCTGGCTCACTTGTCCCCAGCCCTGCTCCCTGGCCTCCCTTCCTTAGGGTTCTTCTCATTCTGCAGTTGAGGGAATCTGGAAGAGATTCTACCAGACCTAACTCACCCACCCCTTATTCAAGGCCCTCCAGGGGCTGGCCCTTGCTTACCTCTGAGGCTGCACCTCTGTCCCCAGCTCCCTCTCCTGGGCACTGAACGTTTGGTTCCTCCTATTACCCCAGTCTTTGTTCAATCCCTTTACCTTCTTAAGCACCAACTGTCGCCTCTGCCACACCCTAGCCTGGGTCAGTATCCTACCTGTCTCCCCCCGCCTCCCTCTTCTCCCATGGTTTTATTCCTAGGAGAGTTCCCCAGGGCCTAGGCTAAACCAGTCGGTGGCTACTGCTGTAGACATTCCCTCGCACCCCAGAAAGTCTCGGATGCTGTCCCCGCCCCACTCACTCCTGGCTGCAGCCCGAGCCCCGCCCCTCTCACGGCCCCGCCCCACCCGTCCTCAAGGACAAGGCACTGGAGGGGGCGGGACAGAGCCTCCCGGCCCCGCCCCTCCCGCCTCTGACCCCGCCCCCGCAGTAAGACCCGGTGCAGCCCAGCTGGGCTGGGCTGAGCCTGGCTCAGCTGACGCCGCACTTCACGTGACGCTCCCGCCGGGTGAAGATGGCGGCTGCCACTGGGTGAGTGCTGCTCCTCACCCTCGCTCTTTCTGGCCAGCGCCGAGAGAGACCCTGGGCGTTCCTAGCTGGACAGTTAGTGAGGGTCCCTGGCCAGGTTTGCTGAGTGCCGTGGGCAGCCGTGGGGCGGATTGCTGCACGCCTCTAGTCGGTTCCCGCAGCTCCTCTCCACCCTCCCGGCTGTCCACTGGCCCTTGGGGGCAGCCTTGGCTATAAGGCTCCACCCATGCGCGTGTGGTGGCCCAGCTGTGTGAGGCCAGTGTGGGGGCTCAAGACGACACATGTTCATTGCCATGACCCTTAGATGGGAAGGTGGCATTGCAAGGGCGCCAGGCACGAGGGTGTGTTTGAGGAGGGCTTGGAATCCCCTTTCCCCGGCAGCCCCACGTCATTCGGGGCCCACATGTCATCTCCTAGGAGAATCCTTCCCTGACCACCCAGGGGACTCTTTGTAGCCCTTATTCCCATCTGAAAAACTCTGTGGAGCATTGGTACTTGTTGATTGCCGTCTCCGCGTGTAGAACAAAAGGGCAAGGCCCTTCTCAGCACTGGGTGTCACTACCCCGGTGCCTTGCACACAGTAGGTGCTTCATCATTCTGCTGAGAGAAGGGTGAGTGGTCCTAGTGGGAGGAAGTGTGGACAGTTGGCTCACTGAAGTGTTGGGGAGAATGTCCCGGACGAGGAAGCATCTGAGCAATGGTTAAGAGACAAAGGTTGAGAGTTCGGGGGTCAAAGAAGAGTGCGGCCCAGCCCTTGACTGGAGGGTGTGGTAGCCTCTTCCAGACTTTGTCCTGAGGTGCTGGAAAGGGTTTTCATGTGCCTTTTCAAGAGCTTTCTCCCCTGAGCTGTGTATGAGTTCCGTGGGAGGGACAAGGGGCTGGTGGGACAAGGGGCTAGGAGAAGCAGGGGTTGCAGGGGGCAATGCTCCAGATGCCCACTTGGGAACTGAGACCTGAATGGTGTAACTGGTGGACTGAATTCATTTCTTTTCGGGAGGTGGAGAGAATGACGACAGACAGGCGATTCTCAATTGGCTCCCAAGGTTGGGGGATGTGTAGAATGTACAAATCAAAGATGGAGTGGGCACCTGCTGTATTCCTGGAGTGCAGGAATGGCATTGGGCCTACCCGTAGCTGCTCATAGGCCACGAGGGTGAGACTCTTGTCATCCATCTGCCTGTATCTGGTCTTGGTGTGTGCAAAGGAGGGCGTGGCTCTGAGCTCAGGGGAGAGTCTGGGAAGGCTTCACTCTCTGGATCACTTTTGTGCTAGTGCTTAAGCAAAGAGATGCCCTTCAGGTAGAGAATTGCTGGTGTAAAGATGTGCATCCCTGCCAGGGGCTGGTGGGGGCGGGGAGAAGAAATATCTTTTGTTCTTTGAACTGTAGGAGACGGACCTGGTGCCAGGCTGGCCTGGAGTTTTGGGTGGATCTCCCAGGTGGCTGGAGGTCATGGGTTAGTCTTCCACAGAGAAGGGCATATTAGAATCATTAACTATAGTTGAAAGATAATAGGCTTTCCTCCTTAAAAACTCTGTATTTCTGCTTATGTTTGTGGAAATTGGTATTTTGAGATAAAATAGTCTGCCGTTTTTCCTCCTTTGCTAGCAAAGTAATAAATTTCCCTATCCTTCTAAAAAAAGAAAAAAAGAAAGCAAGAAAAAGATTAAATGTGGGCCAGGCACAGTGGCACGCCTGTAATCCTAGCACTTCAGGAGACCAAGGCGGGGAGAGGGTTGTCTGAGCTCATTGGCTCAAGATTCCATCTCTAAAAATAGCCAGGCCTTGTGAGGGGCTCCTGTGGTCCCAACTACTTGGGAGGCTGAGGCATGAGAATTACTTAAGCCCAGAAGTATGAGAGTTTGAGGTTGCTGTGAGCTATGATGCTACAGCACTCTACTAAGGGCGACAAAGTAAGACTCTGTCTAAAAAAAAGATTAAATGTGAAGGAACTCTGAGTCAGAGGCTTGAGCCCAGCCTGTGACCCTCTAAAGGATCAGAGAGAGCAGACTGGTGGGTATGCTGTATCTCTGGGTGGCCAAGTAGTCACAGGGAGTTTCAGGGACTGCAGTTCAGGCCTCCATGCTGGCTCGAGGCCTCCTGTTCTTCTGAAGACACAGAAGAGCCTGGCTGGTGACCAGCTAGATCCTAGAAGGAGGGCTCTTTTAGCAGAGGCCAGGCAGGGTGGGTGAGGGCGGTAAAACAGTTTTTAGAGAGGTGTGCTGCTGGAAGTGTGCAAGGAACTTCCAGAGCTTGACAAGGCTTTCTTGAGAAGAGCCATCCTGGCCTGGTGTGGGGCCGCCCTATGGATACGTTGAGCCTGAGGTTGAGCCCAGTGGCTTCCTTAAGAGGAGGAGGATTGAGCATGTTTCTAGCAAGGCAGAGCTCCTGGCTTTACTCACAGGAGAGAATGGAGGTCAGGCACAAGGACGCATCATACCAGCAGATCATGGCCTTGGGCTCCTTGGGAGTCACATTTTATCCTACCAGGGTCTGACACAAGGGAAGCTCTTGAGAGTTCCAGGTGACTGGGGTGTACCCCATATGGTTTGGGCAGCAGTGGAAGCCCTAAACTAGCATCTCAGGTTCTATTGGGAGCTCAAGATGCCCCTCTCGGGAGTGTTTTAGGGCTGATCCTGCTCTGCTCTGCCAGCCTGGGCATGGGCTTCAGCTTGAGACAGAGTATCTGACTGAGGTCACTTTCAGTCGTCCAGTGGAGAGGGCCCCTTATCCCATGGCACTTGGCAGGAGGTAGCCTGTGTGCCCCTTGAGCCATGCTTACCCTTTGGGCTCCCCTAGGTGGCTTTTTCTATTCCCCTCTTCCCTTGCCGACTTAGCTGCTGGCTCTCCAATGCCCTTCTCCTCTGATGTGATTGTTCACATACTTGCCAGCCCAGCGAAGATGGTTCCTTCTCCCAGATGTCTTTCCCAATCCCCCAGTAAAGCCTGCCTTCTCGGAACACAGAGAGTTCCAGTTTTCTTCCCTGGCAGGACGTTTGTCCACATCTGCCCTTGGTGGTTGGGTGAGGGGTTGCTTCTCTTCATACCTCTCCTCCTTGGATGGAGGTTGGGGACCAATTCACTTTGTACCCCCAGAGCAGTCTGCGGCTGCTTGGTGATTGGTGCTTGGTAAAATGAATGAAGTGTGTGTGGGGGGGTTTATTCTAACTTAGTCCAACATTGCATCCTGCTCTCCTGGGAGACTTGGTGACTGAGGAAAGGAATTGTGGTTGGGGAGGGGGACAGAATCCTGACTGTGAAGAAATATCTTTAATTCTTTAACTGAGCACTCCCAAGCTCCCCAGAGCTGGGAAGAACCAGCAGGTGAGCTGTCCCAGGTGTGTACCTGTGGGGTCATAGGTCATGCTAGAATCAGCATTCTTCTGGATGCAAAGTGTCTAGAGGCGTCACAAGCCCATCCCCACCCTGATGTCATCCTTGTACTCCTGGTGCAGCAGCCTCAGGCTGCCCATAGGGGCTGGGGGTTGGGTGGGTCTGTGGGAAGTGGGCTGCTGAGTGCCCTTTTACCTTCCTGGCCCTTGCCTGGGCCTGGTCGTAGTCCTAGTCCTGACCCCACACAGTCTCCTCTTGTCTCTGTGTGTGCTTAGCCTCCTGACCCTCCTCAGGAGTGAGAGAGGCAGGGTGGGGGAGGTTGAGCAGCTGCCTAGAGGCCTTCCCTGGTGACCCAGCTTGCTTTGCTCAGTGCCTGACCCCGAGCTGGAGGCTGAGGTGAAGAGGCAGGCTGGCCTCAGCTGGCCTCGCTGCTGAACGCTTAGCTGCACAGCCCAATCTGGAAGTGGCTCAGCATTCTGGAGCAGGGATCTTGTCCTTGTCTGTGCTGTGGTCCCCCCAGGCATCGGTGAAACGCAGGCACCATTCTCAGTGTAATGTGTTCACACCCACAGAATAAACGTAGAAGACTGCAAAAAAAAAACCAATTCTATGGAAATACAGTTACCAGAGTAAACTTGTGATATAGTCACACATGGGTCTTTATGAATGCATTAAGTAATAAAAGCTAGCAGATCTACTAAGCACCTTCATTATTGTTATTATTTTTATAATAATCAAATCTGTCACCCTGGGTAGAGTGCCGTGGCTTCATACCTCTCAGCAACCTCAGACTCTTGGGTTCAAGCAATCCTCTTGCCTCAGCCTCCTGAGTAACTGGGACTACAGGTGCCACTCAGCTTGTGTTTTAATTTTTTTAGTAGAGACAGGGTCTTGCTCTTGCTTAGGCTGGTCTCCAACTCCTGAGCTCAAGCAATCCACCTTGGCGCATCTCTGCCCTTCTCGGCCCATTTTGGCCCATCTTGGCCTCTCAGAGTGCTAAGGTTACAAGTATGAGCCATGGCGACTGGCCAGCACCTTCATTTTTGAAGTAGTGATAAACAAAAGTGATATTTTGAGATGCTACAACAGCAATAACGTGATATGAAGAGACCTTTGATTTTTCTTTTTTTTTTTCTTTGAGACAGAGTCTCACTTTGTTGCCCTTGATAGAGTGCCGTGGTGATTGCTCACAGCAATCTCAAACTCTTGGGTTCAAGCAATCCTCTTGCCTCAGCTCCCGAGTAGCTGGGACTATAGGCGCTTGCTACAATGATTGGCTATTTTTTGGCTGTAGTTGTTGTTTGGCAGGCCCGGGCTGGATTCGAACCTGCCAGCTCCGGTGTATGTGGCTGGTGCCTTAGCTGCTTATTGGTGACAGATTCACAGGCCCTGCTAGTGCTGAGTGGTGAGTTGCTTATGTTGCAAATTGAAGAAAACGTAGATTTGAATGAGGTTAGAGAAAATAAAAGTATAGCTTTTTCTTATCCAAGCAAGTGGAGCCCCTGAGTTCCATGGATGAATCCTCAGGGGTCTGGGACTGAGGTAAGGACCCAGCGGGTAGCCATTGAGGAGAAAGGAGAGGGTGGCTCAGTTCAGATGTGGGGGCCAAGGTCGTGTGTGTGTGTGTACTGGGACACGTTGTAGGGGCAGTGCCATCATGCCCTCTCTGGGGCTAGTCCCCTTCTCAGTCCTTTGTTCTTGGCCCTGGGCTGCTGACGGGTGTCGGTGGTTGCCTGCGGGAGGTCTCATGTTGGGGCCAGAGGCCAGTTCTGTGGGTCTGTTGGTCCACCCAGGCGTTGCCTGCCCCTTGACTGCCCGTAGTAAAGCCTTATTTGCCTGGGACTTAAGGATGACGTGGCTTTTACCTTTTAAATTCTGGGTGCCAGTTAACCAAAGCTCCAGCAGAAACCAGTGGGAGATGTTTTATTGGTGCTGCTTTTGCTGAATTTGCAGGAAGAAGTGATCTAAGTTGGCTCTGGGCCTGATGGTCTGTTGGGGTTTGGTTTATGCCATTAGAAATCAAAGGGCATGTCTCTGTAAACCTTGATTCTGGGGAGCCCTGCCTGGTGGCTCAGGCTCAGTGGCCTTTCTCATACCAGAGCCCAGGACAGAGTGGAAGAGTAAAAATTGTGGTAGATTTTCTTCACCGTTGCAGCTGATCGCTGGGAGGAAAGGGGGGCTTACCAAGTTTTCTGTCTTGATCTGAGCAGCCTGGCATTTGAGCCAATAGATTCCAATCTGGGTGGCCCGGGTGGCCCAAGAGAGAGGCTTCTCCAGAGGTTCTTGACAATTCTTGACAAGAGGAGGCCCAGCCCTTCTGAGAGCCTTACGGGTAGGGGTAAGGCCAGGGGGCAGAAGCACAGAGGGTGTGCCAGGCAGAGAGACAGGGGAGTGGTGGCAGAAGTGGGCTGGGCTGGGCTCAGCAGGCCGGTGGCCCAGGATGGGCATTTTCAGCCAGTTCTGCTGTCAGGTGACTGGCTGAGGTCTTCTGTAGCAGAGCCTCGGGGTCATTGCCCCGAGTGCGTTTGGGGCATCTGTAGAGGTGAGTTTCACCCAACACTTCCCCGTAGGCTTTGTAGGGGTGCAGGGAAAGGGTGTGAGAGGCTCTGGGGACTCTGTGCTGGTGGCTGCACTTTCAGTTCCTGACAGCGTGGCCAGCTGCGAGGCAGTTTGTTTACAAGCTGCACTTTTATCCTTGTGGCTGAGTAAGGCAAAAGAGCAGCCCTGACTTAGAGGAAGCCCTGGCCGCAGGGGTCCACCCAGCCTGCCATTAACCCTTCTGGCAGGGGAGGCCGGCACGTGCAGGGAGGGAAGGGGCACTCTAGTCCTGTCAGCAAATGTGGGATGTTTCCGGCCCCTCCACCCTTCCTGGCCAGGCTGAGGCCCTGGGTCTGCTTCCTGCCCTGTGGGGGCTGATGTGATCTACACAGACGTGTGCGTGGCTGTGTGTCAGCTGTGCCAGGCGTTCACCCAGCAAAGAACTTACTGGGTCCTTGCTTTGTCCCAAGCAAGGTGCAAGGCACAGGGGCTCAGCAGTGACCGGCATGGACCTGGAGCTCTGTCTCACAAGCTACACTGGAGGGCGGGCACCAGGCAACATTACTAGTCATTGCCTGGTTAGATTAGAAGGTCCAAGCACTGTTGCACTCAGGGACCTGACTCCAAGCCAGGAGTTCACTCAAGAGGCCATTGAAGAGAGTTTAACGTGGGATGATGTATGATCTGTGCGCAGGTGAAGGGGACCTGGGGAGGAAGAGGAGGGAAGCTCATCTGAAACCCATCGGAAGCTGTGCTTTGGGTCAGGGTATCCTGGCAGGAGCTGTGCCTCCTTGTCTCTGCCTCCCACTGGCTAAAGCCACCTGGAGGCAGGGTTCACACTGTGAAGGCAGGCGGTTGGGTAGGCCAGCCTCTGGAGGGCAAGCAGAGAAACCCAAGGCCAGTGCTAAGTGAGGGGTGGGTCGGTGGGGGCGTCTTAAGTTCAAAGAAGGAAGCAGGCAAAGACCATCCTGAGTGGGGGCCGGTGGGCCAGGACTTGGCTGGAGGTGTCACTGCTCGTGTGTCCCTGGTGTGAGGGTCCCCTGAGAGGTGAGTGGGAGGAGCCCCAGGCCTCTTTACCCCCCAGGCAGAGCTCCAGCTCTGGGCTGTCCCTGCCCTCCTAGACCTCCATGCCCACCTGTCACCTGCCCCTCCTGCACACCCCAGCTTCACCCTCCCTCCACACTTGGCTTCCAGCCTCCTGCTGGGACTGTGCTTCCTTTCTCCGGTCATTCAATTGTTCATTCAGCAGCTACAGGCATCTGCTTTGTTCCTGCCTCCATGGAACCTACCCTTTCCCTGGAGTGGACAGCAAGCAAGTTAAAGAGTTGGGGGGTGAGGTTTGGATGGGGTGATCAGGAAAAGCGCCTTTCTGCAGAGGCTGGACAAAGTGAGAACCTGGCCACGTGCTGGGCACCTGCCAGAGGTGCAGTCCCCACAGCGCAGGCAGTGGCAAAGGTTGGGGTGCTTTGTGGACAGTGAGAAAGCCTGTGCTGCAGCAGAGGGAGCCACAGTGGGGCCCGGATGCCAGAGGGAGGGGTGGAGCAGGCACCTACTGGGGTTGGCATTTCTAAAGGGCCCTTCTGGTGGTGAGCAAACATCAGGCTGGGCTGCAGGCTGGGCTCAGAGGGAGCCGCTGACAGTGGCCTGCCATGTCAAGGAGAGGGATGCCCGTGCAGGGAGTGGCCACGGGGGCCGGGACACATGGTGGTGGAGGTGGACTGAGGGAGGAGGGAAGGCCCAGGCAGCTTCAGGGCAGCAGGAAGGCTTTCTTTGCAGCAGAGTGTGGGGAACACAACTTGAATTAGGCTTTCTTACCTGAAGGCCACACGGTGCCCCATTGTTTTGAATAACTATGAGTAAGTGGCAGGTGCCCTGTGTTCCTAAGTAATTGTCACTAGCTTTCATTTGGAGCCACTGTTGTTCTGGCTACTGTATAGGGTCCCAAGGCTTTCCACTGGGGGATGGAAAGAAGCTTCCTATGCTAGCTCTCCTGCCCCCATGAGCTGGATGAAGGCGGATGGCCCCATGCCTGTTCCCTGTCTGCCATGAGTTGAATAAAGAGCAGGTCACAGCCACCTTCAGGTCCCTGGCTTTTCTGGTTTGTCTAAATCCAGTGCAAACCTTTTCAGTCTCCACCACTGGTCCTACAGGGAGACTGGGCAGGAGCAGGCTTGAGGTGTGTGCCATGCCCTGAGTTTGAGATGGCTGATGGGACCTGTGGACCAGGAGGGGGACATCAGGGGCCTGTGGGTACTGGTGGTACCGAAAGCTGAGGGGCAGGGTGGGCCCAGCTGGGGGAGAGGTTCCAGGCCCCTGCTGAGCTGCGTCTCTAGCAAGGAGGATGAGCCAGGAGGCAGGGAGGCTGGCTGCAGGGGATCCTGAGCTGCGCTTCAGTGTTCGTTGCTAAACACCGAGAAGGGGAAGCCAGGGGAGCTGAGTGCAGAGGGGTGGTGTCGGCAGAGACAGTAGCCCTCAGAGTCATGGGTGCTGAGCAGCCCAGTGAGGATGGGAACGTGCTGCAGACCCAGGACCTGGAGCTGCTTGTGGAGGATGTGGAGTGTGGAGGCCTGTTGGGGACAGGGTGACTCTTTTAGAGGACACTAACTGCAAAAAGGATAGAAATAGACCACGGTGGGGATGGGGGTTGGGTAAGTCTTTCTCTGTTTTGTCTTTTATTTTTTTGGAGACAAAGTTTCAATCTCCCCGGGTAGAGTGTTATGGCATCATCATAGCTCATAGCAACCTTAAACTCTTGGGCTCAACCTTAAACTCTTGAGTGATCCTCCTGCCTCAGTTTCCCAAGTATCCAGGACTACAGATACCCACTACCACATCTGGCCAGTTTTTGTATATTTTAGTAGAGATGGGGTGTTGCTCTTGCTTAGGCTGGTCTCAAACTCCTGAGCTTAGGCAATCCTCCTGCCTAGCCCTCCCAGATCTTTTTTTCTTTTAAAGATGGATGAGGTTACTGTGTTTGTAAATCAGTGTGTTTCAGTTTTTTTTTTAATCTCACAGCGCACTTAAACCTATAATTAAACTTCTGCGTCACAAATTATGTTGATCCAAAAAGAGTAAAAAAAAAAATACTGTGTTTTGAACTTCTTTCAAAAATGGTTTAGTGATCGTTAAAAATTGTGACGACACATTTAGGATCCTCTCCCGGCACACCAGTTGAAAATCACTGCTCTAAATGCTGCGAATGACCCTGTAGAAAAAACTGATGTTGAACAGATGTGAGGTCAGGCAGGCACACCCTCCCCACACACACACAGGGGAGGAGAGGCCTCGGGTGGGAGCAGCTGTGGGAAGGGCCCAGTAGCCTGCAAGGCTCTGGGAGTGGCTGCTGGGCGGTACGCTGTGCTCAGTGAACAGGGAGCCCTGCATGGGGTGAGAGGTGGTGAGCCAGCCCCCTGCCTTGCTCGGAGCAGGCAGCAGCTCCGTCCTTTGATGGCCCTTCCACTGTCTCAGTTGAGGTCTGCTGCCTGCAGGTGCATCTGCACAGGGCTCTCAGGACTGTCCTGCGTGGGTGTGGGAACTCCTGAGTTGGGCTGTGGGGTCCGTGGCTTATAGAGAAGGTATAGGGTACATGGGCGGGGAGCTGCATTATGGGGTCAGAGTCTTTGTTGCTGGCCCTGCCTATCTGTGGTAAGCTCCTTGAGGCCAGCAGTTGAGCATGTTTCTAAACCAAGTGCTCTCTCACAGGCCTTAGCTGCCATCCAGACCTAGCTGTCCCTCCTCCCCACGTGTGGGCCAGGTGCTCAGGGAAGCAGTGTGTGTGTGTCTGACAAGACCCTGTGGGCCTTAGGAGCCCCAGGGAGGGGCTGTTTCTGGGTCAGGTTGAATAGGTTGAGCTCCAGCTTGCCGCATGGGATGTTCAGACGGTGGTGGGGCACGTGCGTGGAGGCGCTAACAGAGGCCTGTGCTCCTGTCTTCCGCAGACCCTCCTTCTGGCTGGGGAACGAGACCCTGAAGGTGCCGCTGGCGCTCTTTGTTCTGAACAGGCAGCGCCTGTGTGCCCGGCTGCAGAAGAACCCCGCCGTGCAGCCTGGCTCTGTTGTGGTCCTGCAGGGTGGGGAGGACGCCCAGCGCTACTGCACGGACACCGGGATCCTCTTCCGCCAGGTGAGCCTGCCCCGAGTGTGCATGGGTCTCCCACGGGTTGGGATTAGAAACTCGTCTTTTGGGGTTGTTTTTGAGATAGAGTCTCACTGCTGTCCCGGGTAGAGTGCCATGGTGTCGTCATAGCTCACAGCAACCTCAAACTCTTGGGCTTGAGCAATCCTCTTGTCTCAGCCTCCCAAGTAGCTGGGACTACAGGTGCCCCCCACAATGCCTGGCTAGTTTTCTTTAGTAGAAATGGGGTCTCACTCCAGAGCTCAAGCTATCTACCCACCTCAGCCTCCCAGAGGGCTAGGATTACAAGGGAGAGCCACCACGCCCAGCCTAGGAACCCGTCTGCTCTGAGTCTATCATTCTTTGCACTGCCATGCTCAGAGCTGGGGCCAGACCATAGTGGGAACTCCAGAACTCTGCTATGGCCGTGCAGCATCCAGGACAGCAGGGACACAGGTCCACCGGGGAGCTGAGTGTGGAGGGGAAGTGCTGGTGTGGCCTTCCCAGGTGGACTGGCCTCCCTGGCAGGGTCCAGATGGACTGAAACCTGTTGCCGAGTATAGTGGTAGAATGTTTTCTACTGAAACCAGGTCCTGCCTGCAGGGTCCCATCCCTCTAGCCTGTTGTTCCCACAGCAGTTCTGCCGTCCCCTGGCTGTTAGAGACGGGAAGGTCTAAATACGTCTCCTGTGACTCCTCTTGAAGCTTCTTGAGGTTTAAATATTCTGTGGTTTAAAAACCGATTTCCTAAATTCAGCTGTTGGCTCCCTTACTGATGTTATGCAGGCTAATTTTAGAAGAGCTCCTCCTCCACTTCATACCTTCTGACGTTATTTTAGCTCAGTGTTTATTGCTAAACACCGGAGAGGGAAGAAAGAAGTCCCAAGGATGGCACCTGTGGCTCAGTGGGTAGGGCGCTAGCCCCAGATACTAAGGGTGGTGGGTTTGAACCCAGCCCCGGCCAAACTGCAACAAAAAAATAGTCAGGCGTTGTGGTGGCACCTGTAGTCCCAGCTACTTGGGAGGCTGAGGCAAGGGAATTGCCTAAGCCCAGGAGTTGGGGGTTGCTGTGAGCTGTGACGCCATGGCACTCTACCCAGGGTGACAGAGTGAGACTCTGTCTCTAAAAAAAAAGAAATCCCAAATGAAGGGATTCCCAATATTCAGCCTGGGCAGGTGGAGAGAGGAGGGCACTTATATGAAACCTATATCATCAGAGAGGACTTAATTCAGGGTCAGAGGAGGCGCCAGGCTGCCCCTTGCCAGACCACAGCAGGATGAGTTGGGGGTGGGCGCGCAGCCAGAGTGGGGAGCTGGGTGCCGAGGGGACAGGGCTGTGTGGGGCTGGGGTCAGTTTCTGAGCTCTCTGGGGTGCTGGGAAGCAGGTGCACAGTCTGCCGCCTACCTCCCTCATCGAGCCTCGAGTTCCACTGGGTGACAAGGGCCCTTGTTCCCACTGCAGGAGTCCTTCTTTCACTGGGCATTTGGTGTCACTGAGCCAGGCTGCTACGGCACCATTGACGTCGATACCGGGAAGTCGACCCTGTTTGTGCCCAGGCTTCCCGCCAGCCATGCCACCTGGATGGGAAAGTAAGGAGCAGTCGCGGCTGAGTCTCTGTGCTGACTTTGGGCCACTTGGGGCGGGCCCTGAGGGGGTGGGGGGGACAGTGGGTCAGCCCCTTTGACAGCTGGCTCTGTCAGTCCCTTGCGCCCTTGGTCAGGGAGGGGCATCAGAGCTGTCGCTACAGATTGGTGGCTTTGTTTGTTCAGAGTTATGGTTTGAGTTTGGTATCTGGAAATTCTGGATTCCATGCTTTGTTAAAATGCTTGTGGCTTTGGCCCCATTGGGCTGTCACTCCTGTATAGCATCAACAGGGGTGGCGTGGTGGGCAGCTGCTGGTGTGTGGTGGTTTTGGTGTGGGACAGGAAAGCCCCTCACAGATGTGCAGGGGTGTTATATGATGCTGCCTCTGGGCCCATGTGTGGCTCTCTGCCAGCTCCTCTGTGCCACAGGGTGGGGGCCGCAGGCTGATGTGTGCCCTTTCCTCCCTCCCTCTGTGGCACCTGCTGCCCCAGGCCCCCTACCCGGGAAGCCATGCCTTTCTGTTCAGAGGCACCAAGGCAGAAGCTGTACTTAACCAGGAAGTTTTGCAGTGATCAGGGTATCCCGCTAATGCTGGCTGTGTCCTAGCGTGTCATTTCTGCCCAGAGAGTGATCATTCTGGGCTAATGTATAAATTACAGCCTTGGTGGCCTCGTGCCCCATTATTACCACCTTGCTCATTATTACCAAGTGGGTTGGCGGGTCTGTGGCTAGTTTGCATGACAAGGCCATAGCAGGGCCTCCCCAGACTTGCTCTGCTTCATATGCCTCTCCTCCCCCGCCCCAGCCATTCAGTGCAAACTCCACAGCCTCCTCTGCTGGTCCTGGCATGTGCCACTTCTGCTGCCTTGCAGTCAGGGGTTCGGGTTCACAAATTGCTGACCGTTCTGCTCCGAGTCCACTTGGCAGGATCCCAGCTTGGCCCTGGGCCCTCAGCTTTGCTGTGAAGACTTGGCTTTGAGCAGAATTGGCAGCTGAAGAGAGGAAGGATCTTTCTCTTGTGGGATGTTGTCCTGGCTCTTAGGAAGAAGGGTGGGGAGTGATCCAGTTGGCCTTTGGGGTGCATGACTGGACTGCCACTGGGAGACCCTCTCCTGTTAGCGTCTCCCCATCCCGTCATGATCTGAATCCTTACTTAACAGCTGCCCTGTTATGGAAGAGAAACAGCTCAGTGTGATGGTGTGCCCTGGGCAGACCTGGTGGCTCCACTTGTCTGAGCTGTGATCAGAAGCTGAGCTTGCCTGCCGGCTCAGCCCAGCCCCTCTGCAGAGGTTGGGGGGCTTGTGGGTGGATCTGTCACTGTTGGGGGCTCCGATTCCCTGCCTATGGGGAAGTGGCCATGCTGCTTGTGAGGTCCTCCAGGGCTACGGTGCTCACCGGAGACAGTTACACCTGTGACACTGACATGAGGTGGTGATGATGCCAGGAGGCAGATTGTAATGTCCCAAAGTGGCCACAGCAATGTTTCTGGCCATTCACTGGCAGCAGGTAAAATCGTGCTTTTCCTCCTGCTTGAGCCTGGAAGGACCTCGTGACCACAGAGGCAGTAGTGTGGCTGTGTGACTTCTGAGGCTTTCACCTGTCTGGCTCTGGGATGCCCCCCCCTTGGAACCCAGCCTCCGTGCCACAAGGAAGCTGAGACTCACCCATCTGGAGCAACCATGAGGTCCTAGACATCACGGAGCAGGGATCGGCCCTCTTCTCCGGGCTCTGTCCTGATTCCCACCCTTAACAGTCCGTGAACCACGGTGGGTTTTCACGCCATTAAGTGTCAGAGTAGTTTGTTACTGGCTCTAGTAACTGGAACCGCTCTGAGGAAGAGTTTAGATCTGGTCTCCATAAGGGGATCCTCCCAGCATCCGTTCTGTACCTTGAGGTGATCATGGCAGCGAAGTTGTGGCCTTAGCTCTTCTTGCAAGTGGCATATCTCAAGAGTAGCTGGGGCCCCTGTGCCAAGTGCCCCTTGGCTCTGGGTGTCACCTGCAATTTTGACCTGGCTGCTGTTGCAGCGTCCCTGGGGCTCGGCCCCTGTCTCAGAGCCCACTGGCATGTCCTGCTGCTCCGAGAGCCAGCTCAGCAGTCAGGGAAGATGCTTGCATCTGGGAGATTCTTGCATCCTGGAGTTTCTGTGTCCAGAGGTGGAGGGGCTCTTGAGTGCATCTCTTCTGTGTTTTTATAAAGGGCTAATTCTCACAAGATGTCTGGGAGTGCCCATCTGTGGGTTGAAGGTGAACACCCTCTGACGCTGGGAGGAGAGGCCCCAGTCCTGCCTCGGGGCCTCCTCTGTCTAGTGGAAAACCTGAGCAAATCTCACCATGTCTCCTCACACCTGCCATCTGGGGAGACAAATGGCACTTGACTTGACGGTTTAAAACCCAGGACCTGATTGGGTTGGGAACAGCTGTTCACATTTGGCTTTTCTGGAGCGTGATCTTCACTAATCCAGGAATAAAGTGCTGCACCTTGGCCACAGCTGGGTTTCAGAGTGGCTGTTAAAAGTTCTCGGCCTCTCCCTGCTTTGCTGAGCCTGCTGGTTGTCTCGTTGCAGACATGCAGGCTGGGGTGACCTTGAGGGTGCAAATGGGTCTGCAGGGGTGGCCTTCCCTGTTGAAGGCATGCCGGGCACACTGCACAGGTCAAATCAAGCAGCGTTGGTCCCAAGTGGATTCAGGCCCCACAGCTGATAGCTGCACCCTGCAGACCACCCGCAGCACCAGGCCGCTGCCTTCCTCCGTCCTGGGGTGAGTCACCGTGTCTCTGGGCCTTTGGGAGAAAAGGCACAGTTGGAATGGGGCGATGGTGAGGCTCTGCTTGTTTGGGGCTGGAGTCTGGGGAGTGGCCGGATCTGATTGTGTGTGGCAGCTTCCAGACACTCCTGGAATCAATAGGGCACCAAGAGTGAGGCTGTGATGGGATTACCTGGCCTTTGCAATCAAAACCCACCAGACTGAACATTTGACCTTCAGCTCCTCAGCTTCCTTTTGAGTCTCTATCTGATGGCTTTTGAAAATCCATCTGGCAGATAACTGCAATCCAAAGTCGCCCAGGGAAACGCCACCCCCGTCTGCAGTCTGTCCTGTTGTCAGGGCTGCAGACGCCCAGGGGCGGCCTGTTCCTCACCCCAGGTCTCCTTTTTGGGACAGGAGGGTGGAAGTTTCTGATTCATTTTTACTTGGAGCCTTTGCTCACAAAGGGGTGACGCCTTGGTGATGTGAGCCTGTTTCCCCTCATTCCCCGTCTTGCTCCTGCTTAGCTGACGGCGCCAGCGGTGGTGTATCTGGGGGTCCTCCGACAAAACAGGAATTTGCCTCTGTGTGTCATCACCTCGGCAGTCTCAGTGCCCATAGAGGGTGAGCCACTTTGGGCCAAGTGGGGGACCCTCTCAGAACCTTTGCAACTTGGAGGCGTTCTGTTCCCAGCCCTGGGGTGAAAGGTGTGATGGGGATGTGGAATGGTGCCCGGCCCAGCAGTGCTCACCTTGCTGAGGGCCTGCGTGGGCCTCCTGTAGAGAGGGAGTTTCTCCAGGGCCGGGACCCAGGGGTCTGCATGCTGCTCCTTTTGTTACCGGAGTTAATGTGGGGCAGGTGTGGTGTGTGACATGCACACAGGCTGTGTGCAGTGAGGCACGTTTAGGGTGCATGTGATGATCCCCGTGGGGGGGGGAGGCAGGGGTGTGTGTATGTGTTAGTTTTTCATGGCTCTGCCCCTGACCCCATGCACACACCTGTGTCCCAAGTACTGAGGCTTCCTCAGCCTCTTTCAGCCCCACTGTGGGTGTGGGCTGGACCCTTTTTGATAGACACAGGCTTCCTGAGAAGGGGCTAAAGGGGTTCTTTTGGCCCCTACCCCATGCAGTTTAGGGACGTCCGATTCCAGGCAGTCCCGGACCTGGCTGGCATTTTCCACTGTCCACAGCGGCCTGTCTCTGCTGCCTGTCCTGGGCAGTGCCCCCCACCCCATCAGGCCTCTGCAAGGAGGTGCCACTGCGGGTGCTGCCGTCTTGCTTGCAGGATTGGTGTCTGGGATCAGATGCCCACGTTGCTTTGGAGAGGTCTGCCTCTCTCTCCGACAGCCTAGTGAGATGTGAAACGGTTGCCACCATCCACCGTGGAGTGAGTGTCATCAGCCGCCTTCTGCAGAGTGGAAGGCAGCAGTGGCAGGGGTGTTGTTTGCAGCCGAAGGCAGCCCCTGGCTGCTGGAAATTGATGGTGACTGCTGTAATTTGGCCCTATTACTTATTCATTAACCGCATGCAGGTGGTCAGCCAGCCGGCAAGACCTGCTCTGTGAAATTTCATTTTCTGGAGGGCTCCTTGTGTCTGCACCATGAGGCAATAATTTAACCTACTCTTCCCACCGAGGCCCTGAACTGGGTGTTGGTGGTGGCTGCAGAGTGAGCGGGCATCGTGCAGACCCTGTGCTCCTGGAAAGGGCCTCATACCGGGCTCCCACCATTGGCAGGGCAGGCCTGCTCGGGCCAGCGTCCCTGGAAAGTGACCCCCGCCCCCAGAGGACAAGAGCCCCTTTGAGTGGGAAGACTTCTCACCTCTTCTGCCAAAGAGCTTGAAGGGAGAGTGTCTGGGGGTGGCGTCAGCTTCCCTGCTAATCCCCCCACCCCCCAGTCTCCCAGGCAGTGGGGCCAGGTGTGAGTAACCCCCCCCCCCCAGTGGTATGATGGTTTCTATTTGGATCTCCCAGGCTCCACGTGGGGCAGGGTGTCGGCCCGCCACGTGGCCACTTTCAGACCCTGCCGGCCCTGGTCCTCAGCAGGCTCAGAGCTGCCCGGGGACCTCCCCAGCCAGCTTTACGGGGACCATGTAGCAATACCACTTCTTTTCCTGTCCACCCTGCTGAACTGTGGCTGGTTTGATGTGGCTGTCTGGCCTTGCATATCCCTTAAGGTGACGTTTAAATGATTTTTACCATAATTAGCTCCAAAACATGAAAAATAAGTACTACCCAACTTAATTATCTCTGCCCTTTAAAAAAGAACGAGTCGCACTGTGCCAGAAAAGATGCTCACAGCTTTTCAGCTTTTATCTGTCAAACGGTTCTCCCTGTTGGGAACCAGGCCCATGGTGAGCCAGGCGCTTTTTGGCAGGAAGGGCAGAAGCACATTTCCTGGTGGCTTCCCTTAGCAACACAATTGGGGTGATCTGGAAGGTTTTGGGTCCCCTGTGGGAGTGTCAGTGAGAAGGTCAGGTGGCCACACTAGTGGCAGAGCTGCCTTTCTGTAGGGAGGCCTGCCTGGATGCTGGCCTCAGAAGCAGGTCCTTTGTGCCTCGCCAGGCTGCTGGGACTTTGCTTTTCACACTGTCACAGCTGGAGGTGATGAAGTGACTTGGGCCAGTGGCAGGGTTGGGCCCTTGCTGTGGTGCTGGGGCAGTCAGAGCGGACATGATGATGCCAATAACTAACTTTGCTGGTGGCCCTGCCTCTTGCTTTTCTGGTATGTGCTTTTGTGCCTCGCTGCAGGGTCAGTGTGATGCCGAGAGTGTTACCACTCAGGAGCAAAGGGCTTGAAAGCACCCCTTGAACTGGCTGCATGGTCAGTAAGCAGGCCAGCCCTGCATCTGGGGGATCCACAGTCCATCAATTCCTGCCCCCTGGCTGCTCCAGGCTGTGCTAATGGAAGCGTCAGACCTTAGCCATTAACTTTTGAGTCATGTCTCAAACCTGGAAGCTAATGTGACTGAATCTTGCAAATTTAATTAACAGCAGGAGCTTGATACTCAGTGATCATTTCAGAGAAGCCAAAAGGGAGACAAAAACAAAGGGCATTCTGGGTTGCATTGACCAGCAATCGTGGTGAGACCAGTGTCTCCTCTGCTGGCTGTTTCCTGTCTGAGCCCTGCTCACTGTATGTGGCTGTGAGTTCCCTGCTGCGGCTCATCCCTGTGGCCCTCGTGCCTGTCCCCGGGTGCCGGGGTCTATGCCTCCCGGTGTGGGCAGAGGAGAAGCGGTGAAGGGCTCGGAGAGTGGAATGGGATTCTGCTTCCCAGGCAGCGATCTTGGTTGTTGGTGTCTCAGAGGCCCGGAGTGGTGCACAGAGCACCTGGTGGGTAAGCACACTTCAAGGTCTTTATTTCTGGGTTGCGACGTTCTCTCCCTCCCTGTTTCCTGTGGGGCTCCCTGGGCACGTTGTCCCCCACACCCTCCACACTCACCTTTCTCTCTCTTTTTTTTTTTTATTTTTTTGAGACAGAGTCTCACTCTGGGTAGAGTGGGTGGCATCACAACTCACAGCAACCTCAAACTCCTGGACGTGCATGATCTTCTTGCCTCAGCCTCCTAAGTAACTGGGACTAAGGCACCCACCACAACGCCCGGCTAGTTTTAGACGGTCTTGCTCTTGATCAGGCTGGTCTCTGACTGTGGTGGTTTCTTTTTCTTTATTTTTTTGCCGGGGCTGGGTGAACCCACCACCTCCGGCATATGGGACCTGCACCCTACTCCTTGAGCCACAGGCGCCGCCCTGATCAGGCTGGTCTCAAACTCCTGAGCTCAGGGAATCCACCCGCCTCAACCTCCCAGAGTGCTGGGATTATAGGCATGAGCCACCGTGCCCGGCCCACACCTTCTTCCCATCCACTCACCCCTGGAGGTCCTAGGAAGCACAGTCCGAAGCCATCTGCTATTTCTTGTCTAGCCCAGTTTGGGATCCAGCACCTGGGGCTGTGATGCTATGAGGCACTGTGGGATGGGGTCAGGGTGGGGTAGGTCCCTGTGACCATGCGATACTCAGGTGTGGACGGCATGCATGTGTGTCCTGGGACCTGGCTCTCCCGTCTCCCTGTGCAGTGTGTTTCTCCTCATGTGTGCTCTGTCACTAGCAAGGCTGTTGACTCATCTCCAACCAAGAAGAGCCTGGGGGTGGCAGCCCTCAAGTCTGCCTGGCAGGGCTGACCATGATGCCGGCAAGGGCTGCCCAGCCTTGTCTTTTCACTGGCTGATTTTTCAGGAGTGATGAGGAAGCTTGAATTTATCTCTTTTATGTGCAGTGATGCTGCTATTGACTTCTTTAAAATGTTAATTTCAGAGGTTACATCAGGGTCTGAATAGCCTCGGAGGCAGCTTTCTTCCCCTGCCCCAAGGGGTGGGGTGTGCTGGTGGCCACCCTGTGGGCTATCTCTGATGGTGAAGGGCAGTGACCGGAGTTTTGTCTGTAGCTGCTTAGAGGAGCTGGAAGTCTTGGGGTCATGGAGGAACAGGGCCCAGCTCAGGGCGGGGAGTGATGGGTTGCCGAGGGAGGCAGGTGTGGCTCTGTGGTCACTTTGTGGCCTAGGGCCCTTTGCCCTCCGTGTCTGTGTTGGGCCGGGTGCTGGCCATCATGGGGATGGGCCCCGGGGCTTCATGGGCTGGGCTTGGCAGGCAGCAGGGTGGCCATGCTGGGCTCTTGCTGCACTTGACCTTGGCACTCTGTGCTTCCCTTCAAGGATCCATTCCAAGGAGCACTTCCAGGAGAAGTATGCCGTGGATGTGGTGGAGTATGCAGATGAGGTGAGTGGCCCCGACCTGTCTCCACGGCTTGGGGCTTCCAGGAACCCTTCTGCTTTTGCATCCTCCCTCACTGCCATGGCCTGGCTGGAAGTCGGGAGACACCCCCGCCTGGCCGCCAGCCCCCTCCAGGGTGTCCCCGTTCAGGAAACAGCAGCACCTCACATGTCTCTGAAGAAGCCATTTCTTGGGCCGGGTGATGCCCCCAACTCCGTGAGTGGAAGCATCTGGTGACCTGGGCTGTGGCCACTGAGATGCACAGGAGAGGGTGTCTGTGAGAGGCAGGCCTGTCTGCCCTGGGACACTCCATCCAATCTGAGTAAACCTGGGTTTTCCTGTGTCAGGAGGCCCTTCCCATGGGCGCTGGCTCTATGTTGATGCTGCTGTCACAAAAGCCCTAGGCTGCAGGAGATTAGTGGGGTGGAGTTGGAGCTTTAATTCACTCCCAGCATGGTTTTATGCATGGCTTCCATAAGGCTGACTGTCTTGGGTGTCTTTGAATCGGTCCCTAGTTCCTGATAGTGCCAGGCTGAGGCAGGGGTGAGAGCACAGCTTGGAGCCCCCATGTCAGGCGTGTCTTGGGTGTCTTTGAATCGGTCCCTAGTTCCTGATAGTGCCAGGCTGAGGCAGAGATGAGAGCACAGCTTGGAGCCCCCATGTCAGGCGTAAGTGATCAAGTGACCAAGGGCTATGGCACTGCAACCATTGCCTGGCATGTAGGAGGCCTCTCTGCTTCACCCCTGGATGCTGCCACGGTCTCATAGTCTGTGCAAGTCAGTGTGGAGCAGAAGGTGACATTGCAGCAGTCAGCACCTGCCACCATGGGTCCAGCCTGGTGGCCACATTTCCCCAGACAGCCTCTGAGCAGGCTAAGAGGTGGGGCTGCAGTGTGGGGGTGGCGGGGCAGCGGGGGCTAGCTAGAGGCCAAGCAGCTCCCCATTTTCCCTGGTCAGCACACAGCCTGGTTGGGAGGGGCCCGTATTGGATGAGAGGCAGGTTCCTGGGGAGGCAGCCTAGCTGGACACAATGCTGTGGGGAGCTAGTCTGTCTCTGCCTGGCGTCAGAGGCTCAGCTCAGCCTGCTCAGGGGACAGCCAGCTCACAGTGACCAGGCGGACCAGCTTCAGTGCCATGCTGTCCACAGGTTCTGGTTGTGCTGTCCTGGGGCACTATCCCTACTTCTCAGACTGTCTGTGCCTTCCCGTCCCTCCTGGGGCACTATACCTACTTCTCCCCTCTGTCTCCCCTACCTTGAGCTCCCTGGACAGGTTGTGGATGCTGACCCTGTCCTGACCTGCATTGGGCCCTTGGCTGCCCTGTGTTTGTGTGGAAGGCCCCCCGCTTTCCCTCAAACTGCCCTCTTGCACACTATCCCTACCTGGGCCCAGGGACATGTGGGCCTTGTAGGTGGTTGAGACCGGGGCTAAACTCAACAGCTGGGGCACAGGCTGATGTAGGAGGTCACCGTGTGGGATGGGAACTGCCATGGGGTCATCGTGTCTGCTCAGGGGTCCCACAGGGAGCATCGCTCACATCTGTGGGACCGTGGGGATCTGTCTGTGCAGCACCTGCTGCCTGGCTGGACAGAGAAAGGGGCCTTTAGGTGGCTCTTTCATGGGATTTCAATACCAAGCTCTTGGGGCTGATTCAGCTTCTAGAGCAGGGGTCCTCAAACTTTTTAAACAGGGGACCAGTTCACTGTCCCTCAGATCGTTGGAGGGCCAGACTGTGGGCCCTGGGGCAAGTTGGCTGCTAAGCAGGACAGGCAACGGCGGCAAAAACACCCGGCGGGCCGGATAAAGGTCCTAGGCGGGCTGCATATGGCCCGTGGGCTATAGTTTGAGGATGCCTGGTCTAGAGAGTCTCCTAAGATGTATGTGACTCTCATTTGGCCCCTTTGGCTCTCGCGTCTAAAATAGACTGAACGTTTATTTGCATCCCCCCATCAAGGTCATTTGCTGCTTAGGTTGTATTTCTAAGCCCAAGAAGGGGAGGGGCCTGCCCATCCCTTTCTCTCCTTTTGTTCCCAGCCCTCTGCTTTGTCAGGCCTGTCCTCCACGCCTGCAAATTGTGTTAACATTCTTGCCCTTGGGGATCCTGGCCCTTCAGGTCGCCTTGGTGCATGTGTGACCTTGATGGTGCAGCTGGGGGTGGGTCCCTGGGACCCAGAGGATGGGCACCCACATCTGCCAGGACTGGGTTGCTGACTTGGAGTCTCGCCGAGGCTCTGTGCCACGGCCTTCGCAGCCACTGTCTGACATTTTTGTTTTTATAACTGGGGGGAAGTTCAACTCCATTTATGCTGTGATTTCTGGAGAGAGGGGAGAATCTGTCTCCAGGTACAGTAAAATAGAGGAAGTCTTGAGTGTCAGGGCAGGGAGGTCCTCAGTGGAAGTATAGAATGACAGCCACATAGACCACCTCATTCTTAACCTTTATTTATAGAGCAGGGGTTTTTTTTGTTTTGTTTTGTTTTTGAGACAGAACCTCAAGCTGTTGCCCTGGGTAGAGTGCCCTGGCATCACAGCTCACAGCAACCTCCAACTCCTAAGCTCAAGCAATTCTCTTGCCTTAGCCTCCCAAGTAGCTGGGATTACAGGTGCCCACCACAACGCCTGGCTATTTTTTGGTTGTAGTTGTCATTGTTGTTTGGCAGGCCCAGGCTGGATTCGAACCCGCCAGCTCTGGTGTATGTGGCTGGCACCTTAGCCGCTTGAGCCATGGGCACCAAGCCTATAGGGCAGTGTCTTAAATGAAGGCTTCAGTGGCGTTCAAAGGGCAGAGTCTCTATAGAGTTCAGGAGCATGCAGCATACCCCTTCCCCATCATCACCATTGATCAGTTTTGTTATTACTGTTTTTATTGGAAATGAAGTTCATTGGATGTGAGATAGTAGACAGAGCCTCACTCTGGGGTGGTACCTGTAGGCTCCAGTAACCTGGGCCGCTCGTTGGGTCCCCTTATCCCTCCTGTCCCATCCAATGGGGAGTCACTGTTTTCCTCCCTTTCACAGATGAGGGGGGCTGAAGCTCAGAGAGTTGCGGAGATCCCACAGGTGGGGGACAGTGGTGTTGGCATGTGACCCCAGAGGCCTGCCCTCCAGTCCTCACTTGCCTGTCAGAAATGACAAGTCACTGCCAAACTGCTATGGAGGTGACATAGGCTGGTCAGGGAGCCTACCGGAAAGTGCAGCCTGCTGGACTGAGCCCCGTTGGGAGGTGCTTCCAGATGGCTGTAGGGACCTGGGGCCTACTCCATGATAGGAGGTGATGGGAGAGGGTTCCTTAGGCCGGTTCTGTGGTGCCCAGTCCCGACTTACTTGGAGCAATCTCAGCTACCTGTGACAACAAATCATAGCGGCTGGCACAGGGTTCCTCTGAAAGAAGGCCGAGACTGCCCCTGCAACCCCCTGGCCACTTTGTACCACGTATAACGTGCAGGCGCCTGATACTGCAGACCTGGCTGGCTCTGGTTCCCTCTGCCCAACAGATTATCCTGAGCTTAATTATTGAGAAGGTGGTTCCCCTGAGAAGGGGACACTCAGGGGACCCTTGAGCGGGAGCTGGCATGACAGAGGAGTGTGTTCTGCGTCTGCTGTCCATAATGGCACCAGGCAGGTGTTGGAAAACACCAGGGTCACTGGCTGTGCTGCAGACAGGATGGATGGGAGAGAAACAGCCCCTGTCCCCAGCAACACAGGGGCCACTGCCACCTCCCGGCCTTGGTGTGAAGAGGCAGCAGGGAAGGAGGAGTCGGGGACAGCTGCACTGCGGGACCGCTGGCCCGGGGTTGCTAGAGACCTTAGGTGTCCAGGAGCAGCTGCACATCTCCACTGTGGTATTTCCTGATGTTTGCATTTTAGAGACATTCAAAATTTTAAAAGCAATTGTGGTACCGTGTTCTACTGTTTGAGGAGGCTACCTTGAAAGACAGTTTCTTTTCAAAAGCTTCAATCTCTGCAGGGTAAAGCCCAGCTCTTGGGCAGAGTTGTGTCCGGCCCTTGTGTCTGGATTGTCACCCTGTGAAGGGTGGCCCTGGGATCTGGTTCGGGACCTAGTGAGGAGAGCATGGGAGGTGTCCATGGGAAACCTCTGATTGTTCCAGGGGAGGATCCACCTCACTGGGCTCTGACGAATTCTGCACGTCCCGTCTACCTCAGCCGGCAGAGAGGCCGGCTGCCTGAGAAATTGATGCTGGCCTCGGCATGAAATGAGGCAGGGCCGTTTAATAGCACAGGTTTGTGAGAGGTCCCTGGCGGCCACCACTCTGTGGAAACAAGGCCCTGAGCCGACAGAGCGTGCTGTTTTGTGCGCCAGGGTTGTGTCTGGAGCCAGCGACACACAGCACTTTTGTGTCCCCTTGATATCTGAGGCCTGGTGTCGGGGTGTGCTGACGAGCGTGCAGCGCTAATGGGTCTCCATGGGGAAGGGCGGATGGAGCTGCTGGGCCGGGAGAGGCTTTGCAGTCACAGAGGTAACCAGGGCCCACAGAGGCTGTTGTGATCGATAAAAGATGCGGCCCTGCCAGGGCCCGCACACGTGCAGGCTGCTGTCTGCGCCGGGCCGCGCTCTGAGCACTGAGTCGCTTGGAGACAGCTGAGTTCTCCATTATTCTATTCCTAAGCAGCGCGTCCTGAGAGGCGTTGCAGAGAGAAAAAGCATCAGCCCACACATCTGTTCTGTTCCTCCCTCCTAAGGACAATAGCAGATACAATTCCCAAGTGCCTTCCTGCTCTCTGATCCTGTGCTGTAATTGACGGAGTCGTTCTGTGCTGATGAATGTGGACGTCAGCATAAGGACACGTGTAGCTCTGTTCTTTTAATGAGCCTCCTTTCCTCCAGGAGGGGTTGGGAGAGTAGCCTTTTGTTCCCGAGACACTGAGGCTGAGGGATGCTATCCTGCTCAAGACAGTCACTGAGCAAACGAGGAAGGATCCAAGGAGATGGTTGGGACCTATCTGGAGGGTCACCTGACCCTGTGTATCACAATTAACTGGGTCAAATTTGTTAATTTTTTTTTCTTAAGACAGAGTCTCACTCTCTCACCCTGGGATAGAGTGCTGTAGCGTCATAGCTCACAGCAATCTCAGACTCTTGGGTTCCAGTGATCCTCCTGTATTAGCCTCCTAGGTAGCTGAGACTATAGGTGCTGCCACAATGACCAGCTAGAATTTGATACATTTTAAAAAGAGAATACAGTTTTTGAGACAATCTTGCTCCCTTGCCTTGGGTAGAGTGCTTTGGTGTCATATTTCACAGCAACCTCAAACTCCTAGAATTAAGCCATCCTCTTGCCTCAGCCTCCTGAGTAGCTGGGATGACAGGTACCTGCCACAACATCTGGCTAGTTTTTCTATTTTTAGTAGAGACAGGGTCTTGCTTTGCTCAGGCTGGTCATGAACTCCTGAGCTTAAACCATCCACTCACCTCGGCCTCCCAGAGTGCTAGGATTACAGGTGTGAGCCACAGAGGCTGGCCAA